TGGCAGAATTTCAATTCAGTAAGGCATGCACATGCTTTAAGTAAAAACTTATTGCAGAATTTCAATTCACTTGTCCAACAACATCCATCGACACGTGTTCGACTTCAATAATTATTGTTTGTCTTCTCAAATCCAATTTTGGTAAATCGAATTCTATTTCGATTTCATGAGCATAAAAACGTACGGGATGATTTGAATATAATATGCACATTATCGGTATAATATCTCCAACAATCTTAAGAAGAATTTTGTTTTTAATGTGTGCGTTTATATTCTAATTTGTTTAGAATCTAGAAATCTCTATCGCGTATATTCTCGGCACTTTATATGCAGTCTATTATAAGCAATCACAACATGAGATTGCATGCTTATATGTATATTTTATATGTATAATTGATATATCAAATTTACTGAAGAATTCCTTCTCTTGGACGACAAAAACATAAATTATTTATACATGTTTAGTACTCTCGTCTCTGCACGCCCATGTTTATGTTTTTTCTTCATACATGTTCTAGTTATATAAATGGTGATTAAGTGAAATGAGTTTTCATTAATCTAGAAGTGGACATGAAAACTGGAAAGAAAGTAAAACTAAATGTGTCTGACAATTTTACATGATGAACCCAGATATCGGTTAATGGTTTAAATGGATCGACATGTTCTTGTGCATATGGTGGTTGTTCAGTTTATGTCTTTGCTGTTCAGATTTATGTATTTCCTTTGCCTTATGTCAGTAAGGTTACCCATGTCCACCCTCTAATTTTGATTTGTTTAAATAAGTCAGTGGCATAAGGAAATAATTCAATTACGTGAATTACTTGTTTACGCTTCTATGTTCATGGTAAAAGTTTCAAAGGAAATATAATATATTCTTTGGTGAAAGTTTCAAAATCTGGAAAGAATTGGGTGCGTTTATTCAAAAGTATGCATGTTATAAGAATCATGTCTTGTTATTTGAAAGTGATTGCCTTATAATTGTAAAAGAAGTTAAATGACTTCTTCTCAAACAGATTAGTTTTGCTTCCATATTTCATAACATGATTTGTCTTCAATATTTTACTGAAAATCTGATTTCGTAAGTGGTCATGATTTTAACGACATTTTGTGGTGCATATATATATATGCGTAAATTGATGATAACAGTCCCTTGGCGTTTGGTGAGTATGAAAAATTGTGTTACTCTCTATAACATGAAAGGCATGAATCTCCGAAGAGATTAAATCTGAAACGCAATTTATGGAAAATTGGTTTAGAAATCAAGAAAATCGATTAAATGTCGAAAACCAAACTTTAGAGAAAGTGACTTTGTGCCAACTTCAGTCAAATATTCTGACTTGATCCGATAGTCATCAAATACAGTATTCCTCCATCCGGCATTCATGGGTAATGAATTTGTGTATTATTTGGATGATTAAATGCACAGAATCAATAGTGATTATATAACGTAGAATCATTCATATTTGTTTTGAAGTTTCGTGCACAATTAATCTATGTGAATGCATATTACATTGTGCATTAATGATGTATAAATAACATATGAAATGATTTAATGATACATGACTTTTCAAAGTA